AGCTTAAAAAATGAACTTTTGAGATAGTCCCTCAGACTATAAGAAGTCCTGATAGCACTGTGAGCTAAGCATTAGGTTATAATTGCAAGGTCAGCGATGAAAACTCAGAAGGTGAGTTAGTTAGTTTATTGTGCCAACCTGGCCGATAAACACATGTGGGGTTAATTGAAGGGCAGAGGGATAAATGGCTCAGTGAGACTCGCCTTTCGAGTTCTCGGGTCTCTGGCTTTTTGATGGTTGCACCAGAGTGCAGTTGCCTTAGCCGTTCCCTGCTTCAGCTGGCAAGGCTGACTTTCTGCAAGACATCCCCAAAGAGAAGCCACATGGACCTACCCCGATGCAACCCTGGGTGCTGGAGCAGCTGTGTGGAGACCCCTGCCAGCGCTGAGATGTTTACACGTTCACTGATTCAGCTTTCCTCCTGCAGTCAGCAACCTGGTGTGTGTTTTGTGAGATGGAGGAAGACTTTGTGGATTGGTATTGAACACATGGGTTAATGGGTTCATGTTGGACTTGTGGGCTTGGGCAGCACTGGGTTGGGATGTTTTCTTGATGCACACTTAACCTTTGTATAAAACTATCTTTTATACATGAGTTTCTGTGGATTTGTTTCTCTAAAGTACCCAGACTAACACAGAAGTTCAGTGGTTGAAACTTACCTTGGGAGAAAAATGAGACTGCTATTCCTGTAAATATTTACAGCTTCAGCCTTACAGGGTCACTATGAGTTGGAAATAAGTTCATGGCAGTGAGTTTGTGGGGTTTTGTTTTTCCCCATCTATGATCTGCTATTTTCTATCTACAGTAGATTTTACTTCCTGTTACCATAAAGTTTGGAAATTCTAGACCACCCAGAAATGCCTAGGAAGAGGGGCCTCTTTATCTGTTTCTAAAAAATCAACAATTAAAAACTACTCTCATATGAACTGTGGAACCATGCATGAGTTGAGGCTGGCATGTAAATTTGAAAACAACTTCTCTATCTGACTGTACACCATTGTCATTGTTGTTGTATCTCTTCTCCCTTTAAGCAGTCTTAGAGCAAATGAGTCTGTTTGCACAATTTATGATGACCTTTGCTCTAATCAACACATTTAGTTTCCGAGATATTAGTTCAGGAACATGTTAGTATGTTGCTACTATTCAGCCTTGCTGTGTGGATGAAATGACTAAATATATGTAATGAGCAAAGAGAACAGTATATTTCATATATCTAATTATTATCCTGCTTGAGCCTCCAATCTAATTGGAATGAAATAGAATTTGTAGCTTAAAACATTATTTCTAATACCTGATCAGAAATAATGTTTTAAGCTCCAAATCAGGTATCAGGTACCAGGCATCAAAGAACAAAAAATCATATCATTGTAAATGAGGTTGAGTGCAGAGTGGAGACCCAAAGCCCATCTGTAGGCAACTAGACAACCCTTACTGAAGGGTTGGCAGGAGGAAATGAGCCAGTCTGGGTGCAGGGTAGCAACGATGAAACATATAACTTTCCTCTAGTTCTTACATGCTTCCTCCCCCCAACTATCATGATCCCAATTCTACCTTACAAAACTGGCTAGACCAGAGGATGTACACTGGTACAGATAGGAACTGGAAACACAGGGGATCCAGGGAGGATGATCCCTTCAGGCCCAGTGGTGAGAGTGGTGATACCTGGAGGTTGGAGGGAAGGTGGGGTAGAAAGGGGGAACCGATTACAAGGAGCTACATACAACCTCCTCCTTGGGAGATGGACAACAGAAAAGTGGGTGAAGGGAGACGTTGGACAGTGTAAGATGTGACAAAATAATAATTTATAAATAATCAAGGGTTCATGAGGGAGGGCGGATTGGGGAAGGAGGGGAAAAACAAGGAGCTGATACCAAGGGCTCAAGTAGAAAGCAAATGTTTTGAGAAACGATGATGGCAACAAATGTACAAATGTGCTTGACACAATGGATGGATGTATGGATTGTGATAAGAATTGTACAAGCCCCCAATAAAATTATTTAAAAAAATTATTGCAAAATATTATTGCAATCATGGGATACCTAGAACACTGTACAAAGCTGATTCCCTGGCATCATACTGTAAACACACAGGGCTCTGTTTTATGGAGCTAGGATCTGAATTCTCTGACAAAACTTGAGTGCATTGAAATAATGTTTGCACATACCTGCGGTAGTTACTTAATCTGGTGTCAATTTGGGACTTGAGAGGATTATGAGTGCAGGGGTGGAGTCTAGTCTGTCAATGTGGTCATTGACCATGAGACCTCTGTGTGGGTATGGCCTTTTCCTGTGGATTCTGGGAACTCTTGTATTTCCTCCTTGGAGGTGGGAGAAACACTCTCTCTCTCTACTTATTCCCTGAGAGACACTCTACTGACAAGACACAAGGAACTATGTAGATAGATAGACCCCGTGGCCTGGGAACTGGAGAAGCCATGTGGAGACTCCTGCCAGCGCTGAGATGCTTACAACGCCACTGGACCCACAAGACTTTTCACCCACTGGCCTGTTCTTCCTGCATTCGGCGGCATTGTTTGTGTTTCATGAGTCTGAAGAGGACTTTATGCATTGGTATCGGACATCTGGGCAAATATCGGACCTATGGATTTGATCTAGACTGGGCTGGGATGTTTACTCAATATTCAACTGCTCTTATATATAAAGCTCTTTCTTATACACATATGAGTGTCTATGAATTTGTTTCTCTAGTCTACCTGGACTAACACAATATCAGTCCCAACTTTCAGTATGCTGTGGTAATATGGATGAAAATAGTGCTCTTGAATTTTAACCAATATGTCTTTCACCATTCCGTTGTCTTTGTCTAGAATGTCCTTTCCACCCATTAACGACCAATTTAACATCAAGCGACCCATTCTAACTCCTACTATTCTGTCCTTCCTGAATGGGCCCATATATAATTTTCATTCTCTGAATTTTCATGTGCCACAAACATCTCACTAGCTAGCCCATATGCCTTGGTTTTAGGTTTTATTTTTCCTTGTCAAATAAATGAATCTCCTACAGGAAAGGAAACTTTGTGTTTATACAGCTTTGAATCTATCACAGGCTCTAATGTATAGAACACATTAATATTTTTGTAGAATAATATATTAAATGTAAGCAACAACCATAAACTTGAAGCTTTGTATATAAAGAATATTTGAACAAGTCCAGGCATTACTATCCAAATTTGGAAATATCTGGCCTAATATTAGCCTTAGAAGAAAAACACCCTGAATGTTTTTTAGATGCAAGTATGGCAAGACTTCAGCTCATTTACTTTGTAGCTACCATCAGAAAAGATTACTTTTTAGAAAGGTAGATCATGATTGGTATAGGTTAACAAAAATGCAAATCTCCAATTAAAAATTAATTAGCTCTGCTAAAAAGTTAACATACAAGAATTATAAAAATTGGACCAGTATAACTTTTATCACAATATTAAATTTTGAATTTTTATGTCAATATTACCAAAAACACTCCATGAATTCAATGCAATTCTGATCCAAATCCCAGAACAACTATTCAAAAAATGGAAAAACGAATCACCAATTTCGTATGGAAAAGAAAGAAATCCAGGATAAACAACACACTACTAAAAAGGAAAGCAAAATAAGAGACTTCTCACTCCCAGATTCTAAAGCTTACCATGCAGTCATGGAAATCAAAAAGCTTGGTATTGGTACAATAACAGATATGTAAATCAGTGGATCAGCATAGATGAAAAAATGCCTACCTCATACCAAATATAAAAATGAACTCAAGATTGATTAATGGTTAAAATACAAGCCCAAGAACTATAATAATCAACAATGAACAAATAGAGACAAGATTAAAGGCCCTAAAACAAGGCACATCTACAGTAACAAACATAATAGAATATATCCACCCTGTAGTAGACAAAATAGAAGACTGGAACTTCTTAATGTATGACATTTATGTACATGAAAATACTTTATTAAAAGGTAAAAAGGGAACTCATAGAATGGGGGGACATTGGAAATGAAATACCAGAAAAAATGATCCAATCTCAAAAATCTGCAGAAAATTATAATACCTTTATAAGAAAGACAAACACACGAAGAAATAATCCAATAAAAAATGGGCAGAAGATATGGATAGACAGGTCACTAAACATCACATCCAGGCAGCCAATTCCATATGAAGAGATACTCGGTATCGTTTTCTAAAGGAGAAATACAAATTAGAACAATGAGGAGATGCTATCATGAAAGCATATAGCAAAATTAAAATTTTTTAAAGGAAATTAACAAATGCTAGAGAGGATGTGGAGAGATTGAACCCTCATACACTGCTGGTGTGACTGCAGAATTTACAGCCATTTAGCCATTATGTAAAACAGTACGACATTTCCTGAACGAATGTGAATAACAGCACCATATGACCCTGGAATTTCTCTACTAGGTATATACCCCAAAGAAATAGAGAACAAGATACAAGCAGATGTATGCACACCCAAGTATATTTCAATACTTTCTATAACAGCAAAAATAGGGAAACAATCAAAAAGCCCACCTGGACTGCCCAGATGAACTCAGGTGCATACATTTAGTGGAATATTATTCATCTCTTAAAAAAAAATGCTGAAACTGTCAAGCACCCCACGATGGATTGGGAAGATAAAGTTAGTCGAGTTAGTCAATCTCAGGAAAACAAATATTATGTGACACTACTAATATAACAGAAAAAAAACTCAGAAAAGTGGTTTTCACACTAAAATAATCATACTTAAAGGCTATGGTGAGGTCAAAAGTAGGAGGCAGAGAGAGGGGAAGGGGAGGGAAGGAGGATGGTTGGAAGGAAAATACACAAGATAGGGCGGCATACATGGGGCTTACTAGAATGCTTTCCTTGTTCTGATGACACACGATCTGTGCAATTCGTTTTATATGTATTTCCCTGTGGGTGCTCTACACCATACGTAATGGGAAATAATGCAGGGGGAAAAACGCAGAAAGAAAGGTCAAAGCTTTCACAAACCTCCAGTTTCCTTCCCCATTGGACCTAAACACTGGTATGAGTGGTTACAAAGGAGAAAAAGTAACATTGACACTGACTTCAAAGTTTTTGTAGTGCATGGCCTAATTTCAAACAGGGGTAAAAATACATTTAATTTTAAATTTCTTTGTGAATGGTACGCTATGCACCTACTAGATCATCTTAATTATTAGGTAATCCTATTGGATCATCTTAATATATATAACATCTTAATATATATTAGATCATCTTAATATATTATTAGATCATCTTAATATATGTAACTTGGTAGTACAGTGATACTTTACCTATTTTCTAGCATTCCAACAGAGACCTGATAGTGTAGTCGATTACACACGGGGCCACCAGCTCTGAGGTTTACAATTTGAAGCCACCCACCACTTTGTGGGAAAAGATGAGATTTTCTGCTCCGTAAAGACTTATAGTCTCTGAAACTCACAGGGGTGGGTTGTGGGAATGGCACTTTTGAGTGCACACCATGATGAATGAAAGGCAAAGTAACAAGAAGACTAAAACTATCACAAAATGAAAATAATATTATAGCAAAAGCTTGCAACCCATATTCATACCTCTCTACAAGTTCAAGAAACATGTTAAAGGCCAAGGTAGGATATTTAGAAGCTAGGGTGTGGTAATCAGCCTTCATTATAATGACAAGATGTGTTTGTTGAAGTAAAAAAAATCATATTTACATTTGCATTCATGAAATGTTACTGAAAATAAAACAGCTGTTACAGCCATATTCAAAACTGTGCCGTGCTCCTCTCAGGGACTCAGCATTACAAATAAAGAGAACAATCAGATGAAGCAGGAACGCTGAGCTTACTGCCACCGAAGGTGCAATAGACTCTCAAGCAACATGGGAAAGTTTAGAAGACTGTTATTGCTATTTAATTAAGGAAATATAACTCATGATTCTAGTAGACGCAAATCAACTATACATATGGCTACCTATAGAACCCACATTAAGCACTATCATCCATGTCAGATTTTGTTTGTTTACTTGTTTGTTTTCCAAGTAGGGAACAAAATGGATGACAAGGCACAAGATTTAAAAGCCTTTTTTTTTTT